AACATTCCTTAACATAGTATTGCAGTATGTGCTGAATAAAATGTAAATGAACAAAGACATTGTCAGGTGGATGACGTAATCATTAATTAAATAGGAGGCAATACAATTGAAGTTATAGTTTGTAACAAGCATGGAGGCACAGGAATCAGAGAAATTAATCTGCTTGAAGCCCAAGATGGTAAGCGACAGACTATGAAACACCGTTGATAACTCATATTAAATTTCTCAAAGAATACCAAACATTGGGCTGGCTGGAACAGACCGTTTGCAAGGCAACCTATGTGCACAAATATCTCTGACATGAAGGCAGTCAGGATCCTGCTGGAGATCCTGGAACAAGATGAGGATATCCTGGAACCAGAGCGAATACGGAAAGTGTCTTTAACCAAACTTATTAGCCTGACAATAAGGATGCTGTACTCATGTCATTGCGGGAAAATTCTACTACCAGTCCTTCATCATCTTAAACGAAATAGGGCGATTACATCTCATATAAATGAGTTACTGATAGTCTCGAAACTCTACTTATATACGGAAAATGAGTAATGTAGTCGATGGTTATAGCGAAAAATGCGTTTGCTTCATCGGCACTTCCACTAAAGAATATGATATAGCAAAAAGGCCTGACCTTCCTTGAAATTCGCATCTGTCCTGTGACCCAATGGCACTCGTGGCAATGTGGCCGAGTGGGTAACATGTCAAGTTCACATGCTGCACTGTCACGGTTCGACTTCCATTGAGGGTGTTGATAAGACATATGCGAGGTCGAAACTGCAATCCACTTCAGCCTGGATGAGAACAACTTTTGGGATAACTGTATTTTCCATCTCCAAGCGATACCGCGTCGTGCATGCTATGGCTTAGTTGAAGTGAGAACTACAGTTCAGCCTCTGAGGATAGCAACCATAAGTGAGTGCCCTAAGTGATTTTAGTATCCGTTGGATTAGTATCTTTTCATGGTCTCAAATTTGTGTCAGAATTTTACTCTTTCCAGATATAAAGATATATGAACTTGCATGATCCACGGCAAAATTTGCTGGTTTCTTAAGTTAATGTAGAAATATCTGACTGTCATAACAGCAAAATACAAGGTGTGCTGCGTGCACCTTAATGATGAAATATGATTATGCCAAAATAGGAAACTTAGTTTTTTATTCATTTTTTCCATTTCTTCTCTTCTTTTGTTCTAGGGTTCTATATCGTGACGGCTTCTGTACCCCAAAAGACAATGGCATCTTCCCCTTTTTCTCCAGCTCGCCCTATTCCGGTCTACACACGCGAAATGTTCCCCATCACCCTGTCTCTGACCAGTGCTCATCGAAACCCCAGGATCTTTCTCTCTCGTCCACTCGATCGCATAAACTTGCTTAGCTTTGAAGATCTGCGTAAAGAACTTGCAGCATATCCGAACTGTGGACGAGTTACAGAATTGGGAATCTCAAAAGAAGTTAGTGAGCGCAAGTATAAATATGATTTCAGAATTTATTTTGTCGAATCTTCCAATTCCTCGATGTACCTCTTCAAAATCCTAATCGAGCTGGAATTCTCCAGTCGGCGATCAAATAGGTTTCCCTTCTTTCCCTAAGATTTGATCATAAATCTATTTTCCCGTATAGCTTATCACAGGGTTTAGCGCGAATTAAATCAAACCAAACGAAAATTTTTATAGAGAATTTATGTCACTCGAAACCTACTTTTCAGATTCGAAGCGTCTGAATTTAT